CTCTCTCTCTCTCTCTCTCTCTCGTCAGCATTTAATAGCACACAACAACAAAGTTCATATGAATCAATAAATGCCAATCAAGGGTTATTTTTGTTGAGCAGTTCTACAACTTATAGATTTCAATGAATTTGATTCCCATTCATTCAAATACATTCATTAGTAATTAACTCTGAAATTCATTGTGAATGGAATGTTATAAAAAATCTAACCCTTAATTCACTGATTCATATGACCAAAATTGATTTAGCATGTTAAATATTTGAATATACCATTATAATGTAATTTATAAAAACCACAACACAGTAATTATCACCGATTTTATTAGAATTACATAAATAGTCATTTAATAACAAAATACATTTTTTATATTATATATAATACTTTTTATCATATTTCATATAATATATATTATATAGAAATAGATTAATAGCTCTAATTGAAAATCTTCAAAAATATGGGGCTTATGTTATGAAAGCATTTTTATTGTGAAATTAAAATCTAACCCTTAATGAAACAAATAATATATTTTTAAAATGTAATAAATATAAAAATCAAATCTAATTAAGTAATAAATAACCAAAATATTAATTGAAATAATAACTAACTTATCGTTAAATGATTGCAAAATAATAAATATAGGCTTCAAACTCAATAAACAAAAAGCAATTAACTTTTAAAACTATTTCGTTGTTCAGAATTGTGTAGACTTAAGGGTCGGTTACGTCTCTGAGGGCTCTGTTGTCCGTCTGCAAAATGGTTAGAATTGTTAGCATTGGATGCAATGGAAACCATATCAATGCCAGAGGAGAGCCCAGAGGAGAGGCCNTCAATGCCAGAGGAGAGCCCAGAGGAGAGGCCAGAGAGGGGCCGAGAATTGTCTAATTCTTTTGGCGAATATATTTTGGACGAAAAGTCTTCAAAAGTTGTCTCTTCTTTGCAGTTCTTAACAATGGATTCAATGGAACGAAAGCGCTCTTCAAAGAAGTTGAGATAATATGGAATATGCATTCGTTTGGCTCGACTCGCGTTCACAGCCGTCGCCCGAACTAATGCCGAGAGAATCTCTTTCGGAACGACCGCTCCGTTAAATAAGGGACCGAAAAACGGAACCTCAGATTTGCGCGAAATCTGTATATAATAGAGATTTTGATACGAAACCAATGGATAGATCACTATAAGAGCGTCACAAAACTCGGTGGCAATGATTCCGCGCCTGTAATCTCGATAGTGTTCCGACCAAACGATATGTATCTCATCGTTGCCCAAATGTCTCATCTTTTTAGTCATCATCTGTTCGTCGTTTGGATTTGATATTCTGGTCGACACATGAAATATCACTTCCATTAAAGAGTTTGAATAATATGGCGCCGATTTGCCTGTGCTTTGGTTCTGTTGAAGACCCCCACGAAAGCCCAGATGTGTTTCGAGATTCACTTCCCATCCAAGTCCTGACACAAACTCTTCAAACGCTTTACTGCCGGAAGAGTTAGAGAGTATAGACTCCTTGTCTTCCTGTCCTTTGGCCACATAAATGACAGCAATTTTATGTGTTTCGCGACAATTCTGATGATCTAAATTACGGATCTCTCGCACAAAGTTCTGGTTTTTGGTCAACAAATCAATTCGGTTTCGTTTCTCCCAAAACAAAAACCCCATTTGATCGACAAGTTGTCGACAGTGTTTGAAAGCCGACTCAACTCTTGGCATTTGCGATGATATGACTGCTGTCTGAGAGTCGGTCTCTATTTTTGGTGATAACTTTCGGGACGAATTTTCTTCAGCATAACAGCTCTCTTGGATGTGTTGATTCATGAGAAGTGCCATCATATCAGACGCCTCTTGAAGTAAATTCAATGAATTCGCGTTATTATCGCGAACTGTAATACATTCGGGACTTGTGTTAGTGATGCGCCGATTTGCCTGTGCTTTGGTTCTGTTGAAGACCCCCACGAAAGCCCAGATGTGTTTCGAGATTCACTTCCCATCCAAGTCCTGACACAAACTCTTCAAACGCTTTACTGCCGGAAGAGTTAGAAAGTATAGACTCCTTATCTTCCTGTCCTTTGGCCACATAAATGACAGCAATTTTATGTGTTTCGCGACAGTTCTGATGATCTAAATTACGGATCTCTCGCACAAAGTTCTGGTTTTTGGTCAACAAATCAATTCGGTTTCGTTTCTCCCAAAACAAAAACCCCATTTGATCGACGAGTTGTCGACAGTGTTTGAAAGCCGACTCAACTCTTGGCATTTGCGATGCGATGATTGCTGTTTGAGAGTCGGTCTCTATTTTTGGTGATAACTTTCGCGACGAATTTTCTTCGGCATAACAGCTCTCTTGGATGTGTTGATTCATGAGAAGTGCCATCATATCAGACGCCTCTTGAAGTAAATTCAATGAATTCGCGTTATTATCGCGAACTGTAATACATTCGGGACTTGTGTTAGTGATGTGTTGTATGAGTCCCTCCAAGTTATCTGCTTTTGAGACAACACGAGGTCTTTCATCGAATTCATAAATATCTCGATTTTGATGCCTTTTCTCGGCTTCAAAATCAAGTGAAAACAATTTGTTGTTTAAATTTTGTTCAGTTTTTACATTTGAATGCAATTGATTGCAATCCATTGCAAACTTTCCCAAAAGGTTGCGTACAATCGCGCGAACGGGTGTTTTGGAGATATTGATCATCAAATCATTATTACTCTTATCTTTATCTTCGGGTAATTCAATGAATGATATAATACTTGAATTGTTTATTAAGAAAAACAACACATTTGGAGCGTTTAGGACTTCGAGATCGAAAGTCTCGCAGTTTGAAAGCCTTAAATTGTCGTCGTTTTCATTGATAAGACAACTGAGTCTCGCGGCGCCCAACTCTTGTTCCGGGAAATGACCCAAAAAGTTGATAAAATGACCGATTATTAAGTTAGCGGCCAAACGAATAGTGTTCTCATCCGTATCTTTAAGCTCAATGTTTGCTTGACTTCTGTTCTCGTCGTTTGAATTAATGATTCGCTTTCGAGGCGAAGGGTTTGGACTAATACCAGATTCGGGAGAAGTGTCCGCATGAATGGTGTAATCAATTTCCTGTTCTGCGGCTGTCGTTGGAGTCGAGAATTTTGTATTTTTGGTGTCAGTGTAAGCAATAGTCGAGAAACAGCGCAACACTAAACTCATCATCGACTCGGAAATGCCCTCAGAGACAAGCGTTCGCTCTAAAAATATCTTAGGCACCGATAGACACCAATCGGCCAAACAAAACATTATTGTCAACAATATCTGCAAACAAACAATTAAAATAAATTTCCGGCAAATATAATAACAGATTTAAATTTACATTTTTATATTCTTTAAACATTTTCTGGTTCTGAACTAAAGTAAAGTGTGTCATAAGAGTAGAACACAAGCCTTCGATAATCTTCTTCGAGATCTCCGGATGACTGTCGAGAAGATAAGTCGAGTGATCGGTTTGGAGGCGCAACATATCGCACGCCACTCGACATAACACACGGTTATTAAACTGTAAATTCAATAACACATTAGAGTATTACAGTTAACACTAAAATTTTCAATAAACCAAACAATAAATTAACACAAAATACACGAAAATAAAAAGTAATGCAAACCTTGGAAGGGTTAGAGTTATCGGGATTAGTAATTAATTTTGGTATTTTGAGAGAAACCTGAGTTTAATTAATTGTGAAAAATAAAAGAGCAAATAATAAATGCATGCATTAGTGTTGAAACAAATCATATAAGAAACAAAAGGCTAGAGAAAGTCATACACGGGTGCCGGCGATCAACACATTCGTAATCTCTCGAAGTCGCTGATGATTAGTGCGATTGTAAAGCTCTTGGTATAAGAATAGGCCCAAACTGCTGAGCGCTATGGATCGGCCCAAACCCGTCTGTTCTCTTTTGCTCGAATTCAACAAAATCTCCAAAACGTGATCCTATTATAAAACACATCTCATTTCAATCGTCAGACAAAACAAATGATTTGTTTGCCATACCTTTGAATCTTTATAAGACATAAGACTCGGTTGAGGAGTTCGCGACTGCAGTACCAATACATTACTGAAAACACTGTTGAAGCCAATCAGTGATCCCAAGAGATGAAGTGCTTCTCCGCGCGGCAGCTATTCATTTAAAGATTGTTATAAAATGTGTGTTGAATAAGAAAATTGAAACAAAAAAGTATTACTTTATTCTCTTGAGACGAGACGATAGTATTGGCGGCGTTTATGAAATCAAAGAGTAGAGACGAAGAACCGGGTAAACCAATGGAGAAGAATTTGGGGCCACAATATTTGATTAAAGTACTCGTTATTTCCTGTCAAATGCGATAACATTAAAGCAAAAATACGGAAAAAACATCAAAATCTAATACCATATCATATGATATCAATCCTTGTCTTAGAGTCAAGTAAAATAGCGATAAGAACTCTTTTGAAGGTTGATTTTCGTTGCGTCTGACGGCTATAATGCACAACAATTTATAGGCCAAGAGTTTTCCCAATTTGAACTCATCGGGCAATTGTGTGGCTTTGAATAGCCATGAAGTAAAGTATTGGAGCGGAGGCTCTAATGAACAGTTGGGCGACACTTGACTCTCAACAGAAAGGCCTAAATTCTCTTTAACTTTGATTAAGTCTTCGACCACTTTTACCAGACACTCGATGGCCTGCGCGTGGATTTGAGGGTTTGTTAGTTTATTGATATCTCCCAACACACCTAACATCCGACGCCATAATATGAACGCACTCTCCGAAGTCCAGCCCCTATTAGGGCCGCCGATAAGGACACAATCGGTGGCGTTATTATTGCACTGAAGCCCAGACTCTAAATTCATTGGCGAGTCTTTTAGACTATTGTTTTCGATGGCATTTGAATGAGTGGGAGAAGGACTGCGACTGACGGACGACTCCGACCAAATGGGAGACTCATTGCGATTATCGAAATACTCTAACGAACGACATTTGTTCACTAAATCGCATCTGTAGTCAGATTTATATTTGTTGGACACCACTTGAATCGGTGTACGATTTTGCAGCTTATGTGCCGTCTCTTCAAACAGATAACTATCACTTCGACTACGGATTACATTTGATTGACTTATTTGAGTGGAAATCAATTTGTTAGCATTGGTTGGCGAATCACCACTACTCGAGCGAATCCGTTTCACTGGTTTTGGCTCATTGTTCTCATTATTGACACATTTCTCAGTATTATTCGTACGATTGGTTTCACTTTTGGCCTCATGGCTGAGCCCTCGCACCCGAAATCTGCGCTTATTTTTATCTAACTGTCTTTCGAGCGGCAAATCGTGTAAATTAATATTATAAACATATCGAGACATAACTCGTGTCAATGTATCGATTGTTTTACTCCACTCTTTGATCAATTCTTCCCAACTCGTCAAAGAAGAGACCAAATCATGAAATTTTTCCCATAAAGAGTTTGAGACGAAAACATTCAGATTTGCTTTAATCCATGTGACGATTAATGTCTGTAAATGTAATTTTATATTATATTATATGAATCTTAAAATATAATAAAATATTGGATGCTTCGGCCAATCAGTTATCGATTCTCTGATAACCAATTGGGCTAAACATTCATTTATATTTCGGCGATATTTGTAAATATTAATGCAATATTTAATTCATTAAAATCTATCAAATAGTTGATATCGTCGATCAAACAAATCAAATCATTGAAAATCATAAACACCTGAAAGAATGCCGGCGCTAATCGTCCGCCCAAAGTATCGTCTTTTCTTAGGGGAACATTCGGTGTCAATACAAGTGAAGTAATTTGAAGCAATACTTCCAGCAATTGTTCCCTAAATTAGTAAAAATATAATTATAAAGTTTACGCAACAAATGGTAAGTAATGATAATATGAACGCTTGGCGACAATTGAGCTCTTAGTGATTCAAATATATTCAATCAGTGATCGACAATCACTAAGAGCTGTATAATTGATTCGCTTAGCGTTGGTGTGTTGTGACACATACCAGGCGTGTCTATCCATATCAATCTTCATAACCATATATCTATAGATATTAAGGACGCGTTTACACATCTCGACCTGTTCTTCGAGCATCAATGGCTTATCGATCGGCACTTCCAGAAGGAATACATTCGAAGAAATGGATACAAAAACGCGTAAAAGGTTGGAGAGACCGGCCCTCACATCCTCTTTATTGGTGTTGTTAGCATTGGAAGGGACGGGCAGTTCAGTGAATGTCGGCATATTAATTGCTGTCCCGTAAACCCAATGCCTGTAAACAGTGATCACTTTGCGAATAGTAATCGCGTGTGAAAATGGCAAAAGAAACGCCTCTCTAAAGAGTGAATGAACTAAATTGACGTAAACTCGACTCGAATTAAAGACACCGTTAATGATATGATATTCAATAGCTGTCGGTTCGCGCCATTCGTTGTAATACGAGTCGTGAGTGTCCGTCATATTTGTGTGCGAATGAAAGAGTTTGCTGTAGTGCTGCTGCTCTTCAATCATTTCGCTTCTGTCCGACGGCTCATTGGTCTCAGACTTCAAGTACTTCGAGAGCCAACGCAACACCACTGACTGTAAGTGAAGAAGTGTATCGCGATATGGGAACCGATTGCTGTCGAAGTACAGGTTGTCGTCAATACATTTGCGTAATACTGGCATTTCTGTCGATGGATTATATAACGAGACTTCACTCAATTGGGGGAAAATGTGTGGCAAATAGATTTTGTGAAACTTTTGCCACAAGAACTCAAAACATTTAATTTGCTTCAAGTCTTTGTGATCTTTCCAATGGATTTTTGTCGATTGCGTTATCATGTAATCCATAAGACACTGGAGGTAATAGCAGGTGATGTCGTGCGGCTGTGATTCCATGGCAAACATGGGAACAAATGGCTCGATCGGACACGACTGCACTGACGATGCATTCAACGACATCGCCATTAGGTTTGGCTGATCTGTGGTATTGTATGAAGTGATTGGATTGCCATTAGAGTCATGAACTGATAAGTTGTTTGTTTCGTGATTTAAATTAGAGTTTGACTGTTGTTGTGATGGGAGAAACAGGTTTGGAAGACTGGCCACTAATCCCGGCACTAATGAGGCATATATTGTCTCAATTTCGGCCATATTTGTCAACTCCTGACCAACTATTTGATACCATATGAGGAATAGTCTCATCCCTTCCTGTCTTATCTGACAAAATATTTTCAAATAAAACATTTAATTTGTGGTAAATTTTAGTGATTATGCAAACAATTACTTTAATGACATTCATATGATGTAAACATTTGCGGAAAATTAATAAAAGGCTCTGTATTTGCCATTTCTTTTGCAACAATTCCGGTAAAAATGTCAATATTTTCTGCAAATAAAATATTCATTTAATTACAATTCATTTCAATTAACTATTCATTCAAATCAATACTTCAAATATATAGAGAACTGAATCCAACTCTTCTTTATTTGGCTTATGATCTGTCGATTAAGACATGGATTAGTATTAGGATTGCAAACAAATGGTCACAATTAATGGTTTACTTCTTTGTTTATAAAGCGATTCCAATGAGACAAACGAATCAAAGAATATGTGATAAATATGGGAGAAGTGGTGTTCAAACAACTCCTTCGACTCCTTCACGTCCATCACATCTGTTCCGTCCATACAATCAATTGAGACACCATTACATCATAACAATAGGCACTATCACTCATGAGTGACCAATTGGTGACACAATCACTGTCTCTATAGTCACTCACGAGGAAGTGGTGCACACGATATGAATACACACCTAAAATGATCCTCAAATGTCTTAACCGATTGAATGAATCCCTTTTGATGTCCAGAAATTTTTGCAATGACTTCTTGTAATCGATTTGTGGTTTTTTGCCAAACATTTTCGCTTATAATTAATACTTTGTTTTAATTATAATAATAATAAATAAGTAGTAATTAATTAATTAATTCATTGAATAACAAATGAGTGAAACATAAATGTAATGAAAAACATGTAAACAAATGGCAAACGACTCCCCCTTTAAAGCGAACGCTCACTCACTGGACGTGTAGTCGTGTTGAGCACTCGTATCAACACATCTACACTACAGGCCATACGTTACACAACATTGCAATGTATGCTATGTTTAGATCACTTGAATGTTTGCCACCACTTGTAGTAATGGTGTGAATATATGGACACAGATTCCGTGTGTTTGGCCTCATTTGGTCACCACTTATACCACTCTTCGCGCACTCATCAAACAACTGGTGCTTTTAAGTCCACTATTGTATCACTATTTCTATATAAACCTTCAAATTAGTAGTATTTTACTCACAAAACATTTAAAAAGTTTTTTTTAAACAATTCATTTGTTTTATGTTTAATAACTGGTTATTACTTTAGAAGAAAAACTGTTTGACGTTATAATTTACATAAATTTTTTGTTCATTTATTGCTAAAATTATGATTAATTAAAAATTATACAAAATTAATGACTACTATAGATATTAGAAATATTAGTCAAAAATATGAGAAGTTTTAAGTGTTTTGTTGCTAACTTGTAAGTTCTAAATACAATTATTTGGTTTATAAATATCGTAGTTATAATCCTAATGCTGAAAACTTGAACAATAAGAGTTTGTCATATCATCATTATTAATATAATTAATCATTAATGATATGAAGAGTTACCATATTAATTATTTTAAAATACAAATTTTTCGGTCCATTTTTATTATTTTAATAATAATGAATACAAGATTTGTGTATATATTCTATTCATTTAATTGCGTAAAAAATATTTACAATAATTATATTCTTCGGACATTTAATTCTTGAAAAAGTAGTGAATATTAAGCAGAAAAAGAGAATCAAATGACTGAATAAATTTTAAAATAAAACCATAGTATATGAGAATGTAATCAACGATATAAATAAAGCAATCATTAAGACATGATATTTGCCTTAACCTTCGAGTTTTGCGGGAAATTGCAAACAGAAATGCGGTCTTTTGCGGG